TTACATTTATACCTGGGATTAATGTCTCTATTGAGATCCAACTGAGATCCGATCACTCTGTCTAGCTCAAATAACAGAGAGCAGTTCAAATGGGCCCTGCCCCCACCTGTCAACAACACAGACTGTGTAAAAATAATGGACGTAGCCACTGTGACGACACCCATTGGTTCGTGGACACCTGTTTTGAAGCCTTGAGAGTGGCATTTCAGCCGTCACCATCTTGTTTTTTTTTTTTTTGTTTTTTTTTTTTTTGAGCCAGAAGTGACCAGAAGAGGGTGGAGGTGTGGAGGAGGAGGGGGTGGATCTGACTCATAGACTGTAGTAACTCCTTGCAGACAGCCTGCCCTGTGTAACTTTAAGCCTTAATAAAATGTAAACGTGTGAGTTATATAAAAATTAACCCACCGTACAGCTGTCATGATCAGGGAAATTGGCTATAGAGACCAAAACTGTTTTTATACCAGGCTCTATTTCTGCTGCATTTTAACACTGGGGTCTATGGGGATTGACTCGCTTCTGTAGCCAGCCTCAAGTGGCCATTTGATGAACTGCAGTTTTAATTATAATCCAAAAAAAAAAAAACAAAAAAAAAAAACCAATATCTGCAAAAAATAAACCTATTAATAAAAACATATCTTTGCTGGTCCATAGTTCTTTTTGTTATATATATCAGAGGCAGTCAGGAAGATTGAGAAGGCAAGAGCGAGGTAGACAAGGATGAATCAGGCCTATCTGATTGTAAAACATTCATTGACAGGAAGAATATATCACAAATAAGGGAGACACCCCAGTAGTTATAGCATCAGATGAGAGAGAGACCACCTTGCGCCCCATAATTTCAATATCAGATGAGCTGCTGCTGCCTTGCTGGTTTGAAACAGTTGCTTTGTGATTACGTTTCTGCCCACATAGTTGTTGGTAAGTGGATTGAAAACGATATTGCATTTACGCTTGAGTTAAATGTGGTCGCAATGCGTCCCTGACCTCCTCTGGAGGTGTGTTAACTGATTGGACCACAGTCCGTCCTCAGTTGTTTTGGGTGCATTTATTCCTTTACTGTCATGTGGTAAGGCACCATCCAATCGCAACCAAATCACCCAAAGCACATTTTAATGCCAGGTGTAAAGGGGGTCAAAGTGGTTACGGCACAAGACAATGAAAAAGTGATATGAACTTAACAACAATCCTAAAGCTGCTTTTACACCACTGTGCATTATCTGCTCTGACAATTGTTCCCCCAAAAGCGTAGTAGTTTTTATAAGCAGTTCCTCCTGCTTTGGTCCAACGCCGAGATGATAGGCGGATGCTATGTCATATTTGGTCATGTTTAGACAATTATCGAAAGTTTAATGGAAATGTTATCAAAGCCTGGTTTTATTTCTGGTTGTCCTTATAACATGCTAGCACCATAACTCCTGGTATTCAGCCACCAACATTATCAGCTCCTCCATCTTGTCCTCTTTCTGCTATTGTGATGCCTGCTGTTCGATTAGCCGAAGCCAGCTGGCAACTGCCAGAAGTTCAACACAGTGAACTCAGCATGGCTGAGCAAAATGTGTGTGCGTGCACGTGGGTGGCAAATACTTCATACACTGACTGCTGTGTTAAAAACCGCCTTCCCTCATTTACTGAAGGTGGCAAGTTACTGCTTGGTGGTCTGAAAGCAACTTTATGTATAAAAATGTTTTTGGAATAGTTCAATGAAATTTCGTCAGTAAACTGAAACAAAAATGCAGACTGAGCTTAAAGGTCATGGGCTCAAATCTTGTCCATGTCCTTCTAAACACATGCATGTTCGGTGCAGTATTATGGTTGTAAGATTGTAGCATATATTACATGCAGGTTTATGACTTGTCAGATATGCCTTAGAATAAAACATTTTTCTCTAATGGCACATAAAGAATTCACGCTACGTTCACAGCTAACGACAGCCTCTGGTGCCAGAACAAAGTACAACATGAAATGCATCTAATCATTAAAAGCCTTTATTACTGGCATGAGTCCTGTTAACAGAATCGCATTACGTCTGAAAGGCTTAGCCAGATGACCTGTGGGCATTAGTCAAAGTGTAGAGAAATGTAGTCTGCAGAGGAACATATCTAAACATCTATTAAAAACGTGGTTGGGAGGAAATGAATACGACGCAGGACTTTGAAGCTTTGATTTTATCACCATTAGTGGAAGCCAAAGTTTTCTAACGGCAAAGATCAGATACCCACTCTTACTCGGGACAGCGTAAATCATTTTCTCAGACGGGTGCTGTACAACAAAATGTACAAACGACATCCTGTGGACCGAGGAACTGATATAGATGGGTAGTTTAAAAACAGTTGTCATATATTTGCTGCTTAAACTTAGATTTAAAAAAGTCTTTTGTTGTCAGGGGTGATGTAATATACAAAGTAATCTAATTTTATTTCATTAGTTGGATTATGTGTATACAGTATTTATGCTACTTAAAGGACTGACTGTCTCCCTTTAAATCTACTGTATGTTGTGTCTCTCAATGTCAATGACTATATCCATATGACGACTTATTGATGTGACATTCGTAGGCGTCATTGTTTGCCCCCTCCTGAGGTCTGTTTTATCAATGTCATGTATTTGGCCATTGTTCCAGCGCCAGCGATGATCTCACAGCACTGTCATCCATAGTTCGCATTTGAACAGAGCTCTAGGTTTACATAGCCAACCCAGCTATAGCACCCAAGGCCATGAGCATAAGAGAGTCCACTGTCAGCCGGCCAAACCTGTTTCATGCCACTCATCACAGGGGTACCCTTAGAAACAGTGGGTGTCACGTATCATCGCATGTAAGTAGAACACAGTTGACCCCTTTGGCCTCAGGCTACTGTGGGCCTAAATTAGTATTAGGGCTTATCTTTGGATCTAGAACATGACACTGTTGATCTTTGATTTTGGGACCAGAGTATCAGCCCCGTAAGACTTTCTTTGTTGCCTCCAGCAAGGTCTCCTCTCACCTTGGGTGCGTTAGAAGTCAGAGGCCTCCTTTTGTACTTTGGTATCAACCAGAGAGGCGTCAGAGCCCGTGGCTGTTTAACTGTATTTAAGTTATATCTGAAGAGTCATGACACATAAACCAAACCTTATCTTTAGTGGGATTGGGATGACTATATCTGTCTGTCATTCTAACAGTTGGCAGGCTGGTCGAGCTTCAATGTTTGCCCAGATTGAAATATTTCAACACTTATTTGATGGATTGCAATGACATTTTGTACAGACATTCATTTCTCCCTCAGGATGAAATGACTTTTCCTCTAGTGCCACCATCACTTCAAAATTTTGATTTAACCAGTACTTTGGTTTTATTAGAAAATATTAGCATGCTAGTAGACTAAACTACGCTGATGAATGCCGGGAGCTACTTTGAAAGCAATCCTTTGCAAGCTGCTAATTAATTTACCTAATTTACCCTGGGAAGAAATTTAGTTTGGTTAACTAGAGCTACGTAGAAGAAGTAGTTGAAACGAATTTGCAAAATGTGAAACTAAGTTATAACAAAAATATAACATAAAAAGTCACACGTCAGCAAGAAATTCCATTCAATAGAGGTTATTACAAAAAGTAAATATATATACTTTTTAAATAACCCACTGTACACGGGAATGTGCAAGGATTTACACTAATCGGACACCTGCCTTCCAGTAACGAGAAGCCCAGTGGGGGTGTTGCACCAAGCAGGATTACTCAGTAAGCCAGGTAAATTTTAATTAGTATGCAACAATTTGAAACAGAACATTTGTTAATAAACAGCAGTAACTAATACTTATGACCAACTGTGGTTTAAGGGGTTCAATTACAGTAGAGAAGCAGTGGTAAAATGAAAAAAAAAATCCTTTCTTTTTAAGGGCCCAAATTGTTTGTAGTTTCAGTGATTGTCAGCAAAAAATTGCAAAATATCTAATTTAACTTCCTGAATCACTATAAAAATATGAATGTAGTTAAACTACCAGCGGGCCCCTGCAAATTGTGGTAATACTGCTAGTTTAATAACATGACATAGGGGCGGCAGTAGCTCAGTCCATAGGGACTTGGGTTGGGAACTGGAGGGTCATCTGTTCAAGTCCCCGTCCGGACCAAAATATGGAGCGTGGACTGGTGGCTGGAGAGGTGCCAGCTCACCTCCTGGACACTGCCGAGTCGCCCTTGAGCAAGGCACCGAATCCCCCCACCGCTTGGAGCACCTGTCATGGGCAGCCCCACTCTGACATCTCTCCACTTAGTTCATGTATAGGTCCTGTTTGTGCATGTGTGTGTGTTCGGACCTGTGTGTAATTGACAACAGAGTGAAAAAATTGAATTTCCCCTCGGGGATTAATAAAGTATATATAAAAAAAATAAATAAATAAATAAAAAATGAAGTTCACTACTCAGCACTGTCAGTATGATAGCATTATCATTGTGTGTCATGGTGATTTTATTTTATTTTTTTTCATAAAGTTGCTAGCATGACTGTAAACTCTTCGTCTTGCTCTTTTTATACTTAATTGCAAAAATACACAGTTACATTTCTTATACTTAATTATTTTTTGCATTCTTACAGTATTGTAGCCTAAAACATTGCTGTAAAAGAAAAGAAAAAGATATAGTACATGAAAAATTTTAGATTATTCAATTATTATTAATAAAATTATTATTAAAATAAAAAATAGCTTATTAAGTGGCCATAAATTAGTAATAAGATTATCATTAAAATATGTATAGTAAAAAAAAATCACATCCAAAAATGAAAATAAAAACGAAATGATTCATTTTTCTTTCGTTTAAAAAAAGAATATCCCATCCTAGTGTCAATCATGCTCGTTTCGTCTGATCCCGCCTCCGCTGTGACGTACCGGGGGCGTGTCCCAACGTCTTTTAAAAACGCATTGAGCGCTGATTGGGCAACCGTAGGCACGTGACAGACGGCAGCCAATCACAGCCAGATACGAAGAGTAAAAAAACTGCGCCGTAATACGGGGCCGTGAAGGCGAATAGCGGTGACGTTAGATCATGAACTGTGCTGTGTTGTCACCAGCTGTTGTCTGCAAGACGGTGGAAAAGTGGATGTACCTCGACTGATCGTGAGCCGACACGAGTCACACCGCAGCGCTCAGCAGCACGTTCACAGCCGGAACATGGTGCCGGGTGACTGATGGGAACACTGGAGCCTCGCCAGTCTCCCACTGAGAGTCCCAGTTACATAACTGAAGGCATCGATAAAGACACTAAACTGTGATAACGGACTAGTGCCAACACAGGTCGGAGTTGAAGCCATTTTTCTCTGCTGTGAGTGTAATGATTTATTTACTCAGTTATAAGTGACATGTGTAAGTGTATGTTTTAACTCCTGTAGTGCTGGTGGTCCACTTGTAGATCTGTGAAGACACGGTATGGGTTATTATACAGCCAGTTATGTTTTAGGGCAACTTACAAGACAGCATGCTGGAATGACCAAGCCTTGCTCCACTGTTTACTCTGGTCAATCAGTGACTGTTGACCAGACAGATTATCCCCACCTCAGCAGATTTTTTATCTTTTAAATTAGCTAACTGGTGTCTTAATTTAGCCTCAGTAGGTTAGTTCCATTCATACCATGGCTAAAGAAAATCCAGGCTCCTGATTAGCCAGCAGGTGCCAGTTTAATTCATCATCAATGGGGCTTTATTGCTTTATTTAGGTGATGTGGATTTAAATTAACAGCATGTAGGCTGTAACATGCAGGACTGGACCACATGGTTTTAAAGCAGTGTCACTAATAATGACAAGTAGTATTGCTAATGGGTTATATTTCTCTATTTAAGAGAGACAATCACTGTCTATTGTTAGCTAGATAGCTGCATTCAATCAGCAGTCACTGCTCAGGCAAGTCAGTATTTATATATCATGATGTGTGAAATAATTTACTGTAATAGTATCAATATTCCTCATATGTAAGTGGAAAAAAATTTCCACAAAAAAATCAGAAAAAAGTTTTTCTGAAATTTCAGTCAGTTTTATTTTATTTATTTTTATTTAGAATTTTAACTAAAAAACTTGATAATAATTATAATGATAATAATCAATCACAATCAGTGCTTTTGTATTGAAAGGTTATTAATATATTGTTTTAGTCCAGGAAGTGAAGGATTATATTGAATTATCAGCCAGCCCTACATAGAAGTGATTATTTTAATTGTACGACAACACACACACAAATACTGGCTCACTTCTAACTCGATTTAACCCAATTATAGCATCCAGGGGCCGGTTGCACCAACTGGTCTTAAGCCTGGTCTTAAGCTAAGTCGGTCGTCACTTGGCGTTCTAAGTCCGACCTTATAGTTACGCCCGTTGCACCAACAGGGCGTAAGCCTTCTTCTCACTAAGACCGGGCGTAAATCTTACGCCTAGTCAAGAGCAGGCGTAAGGTTATTATCAAGCTCCTCTCATGCTCTCGTCTGTATACGAGCTGGCATTTAGACGGGAGAGGGTAATTAGGGACAGAAGCAATTGGACATAGCCTATATAATGACGAGGAGCTGATTGAGAGGTTTCACTTCGGTAGGAGCGATCAGTTTGAACTTATTGAAGAGCTGTCACCGGATTTACAGTTTGTGTTGGGCTGCAACAAGCACTACCACCGGCCTTCCCACCAGGCAGGGGAATCCTCCCCAAATACGTCAACAATGATGTCGCTGTAAATTGAGGTTTTCGGGGAGGACCCCCACCAGTTGGATGATTTTTTATTTTTTTTTTTTGGAGGAGATGTATTTTTTGCCTTGCTGAGAAGATCTTTCCACTTCTTCCTCGTGTCAGCCTCTGTATGAAGGCAGCCAGAGTCTGAACACGTATTGATGTGCCCTGTTATCTCTGCCCATACTGACTGTTTTTTCTTAATTGTGATACGTCTCTCTGCTGGCTGTACAGCTTGATTAATTTTCTAATTTCAGTGTTGGTAAAGTTTTTCGTTGATCCTTAATGTTTTCTTCAAATCTTAAACTGTAAATAAACTGTCAACACAGATGAGAGGGGCCGTCAACTGTCAATTGTCATCTGTCAAGCACACGGGGTGATTCAGCGGCACGTCATTTAACGTCACCGCGCTCCTCTAGGCAGGCCCGTGGGGCATTCCGGGGGCATTCACATGGACGCGCACAGCTAAAACCAGCGTAGCTAAGACCAGGCGTAAGCCCTGTTGGTGCAACCAGCGTAAGTCCACTCCTTAAGACTGGTCTTAACAAAGACCGTCTTAGGAGTTACGACCAGGCTTAGTAAAGACCAGTTGGTGCAACCGGCCCCAGTACTGGGTCAGTCTAGCACCGACCCAGTGTTGGATTAAGTTTACCCAGCACCCATTTTTAAAACAATCCAGTGACCTGTGTACAGGTCACCAAAGCCAGCTATATTACCTAATATCTGGGTCATTATTCTTCTGCATCAGAAAACAACCTAGAGAAAGATCCAAAGCCCATAACCCTGAAACTGGGTGAGTGACTTGACCCAGTATTTTTAGGGTGTAGTTAGGAGCAACCAAGTCATATGATTAAAGTATGAGAGTATACACAGTTTGGGCACATTTCAATCCCACTGCCATCAGTCTTAGAGATCCCTCTAGACTAGAGGGACCCTCTAGATCAGTAGTAGGCTACGTTACATTGTTTGAAGGGATGTACTTGAGGGCGTCCCTGGTATATTCTATTCTATAAAGTTATCGCCATTTAAAAACACCTTTGTAGTAGATCCAGGCACCAGGTGTTCGCTATTTAGAAATAACAAATGACCTCCAATATTTTACCAAAACACTGGAGGCCAATGCAATAAGTGATGCCAAATTCAAATGTAGGTTATGTGTGTTAAAGAGAGAAAATAGTTGATAGATGTATTGAAGATAATAGTAACATTCTCAAACAATGAGATAAGATGGTTTAAAAATCTGTGTTTTGTCTCAGCTAAAGCTAGGACTCCTTTTTTCTGCATTCTGCAACTTCCCTTAGTTACACCACGTCCCAAACTACAGGTTTAGCTGATTTGACAAAGAGTGGCCAAGCTGCCAATCAAATCAGTGAATCATAGCTATGATCAAAAAATAAGGGAAGTCCTGAAATGATATTCATTATTCTATAAATATAAACAAGAACTGCTATTTCTGCTCTTACAGTCTGCTCTAGATGATGTCTTGCCAGATAACCTCTTGCAGCTGCAGTCTGCAAATTAAAAGGCAAACACTCTCTCTAATTTCGTACAGTATACAGCTGGGTTCAAACTCAGACCGTTTGTACGTCCTACAGTAGGTAGGAGTGCTCTGAAGTGGCCCCACCGCCATCATGAACGTGGGCACGGCGCACAGCGAGGTTAACCCCAACACCCGAGTGATGAACAGCCGAGGAATGTGGCTGTCTTACATCCTGGGAATCGGCCTCCTGCACGTCATCCTGCTCAGCATTCCCTTCGCCAGCGTGCCCGTGGTCTGGACCCTCACCAACCTCATTCACAATCTGGTGAGTGGAGCGGAGGCACCAGCGCTGCCACGGTTTCTTTTTTGTTGAATGAATCAGGTCAGTGAAGGACACGTACAGTGCAGCCTGGTGGAAGGCTTTGGGATGTGGTGATTCAAAGTAATGAGTCAGAGGGTAACAAATCTCTGCACTAAGGTATTGTGAGGCGAAAGAAAAGCTCTTCTTGCTGTTTCACTGCTCTTAGTCATGTTCTTTGTTAATGAATGGGCGACTATAATGTTTCAACCAGCATTTAATTTAAAGAGCTGAGGTATCTCTCAGTCTCAAACACTCATACCCATCTGTCTGGCCCTTATATTCCAGTGGTAGAATGTAACTAAGTACATTTAAGTACACATTCAAGGTACTTAATGTGAGTATTTCAGTTTCATGCTGCTTCATACTTTTACTTCAATACATCTCAGGGGTGAATATGCTTTTCCCTGCACTACATTTATCTGACAGCTTAAGTTACTCTTCAGATTACAGATTTCATCCCCTTCCTGTCCTCCTGACCATGCATCTCCAAATTTGGTGATCTTGAATCAGATGTTCTGTGATAAACTGAAAGATGAGGTGTTCCTTTATGTGTTTAAAAAACTTCTTGAGCTAAATAAACTCTTTAAAAACCCTCTTGGATGAACTGGAAAATTCATCATCACGAGGCTGAGAACAGAGCTGTTTTTCTGACCCCATGAAAAGTTGACTTTATAGAGATTTGTGGTTCTCAGAGGACAGCCACGCGACAAACATATGATGATCGTATAGAATATGATGCTCTGCTGTTGATTAAACTACCTAACAGTATAAAGGAGTTGAAATGAGCACAACCTTGAATATCTATATCAGTAAAATGCAACATACACATTAATGCAGCAGTAATATTATTCCTGAAACATAGTATACAACACTAAAACAGACAGGGGATGTTTTCCTGCACAATGAGTACTTTCACTTGTTGTACTTTAAAGGTCCAGTGTGTAGGGTTTAGGGGGATACACTGGCAGAAATGTAATATAATAAGTATGTTTTCTTTAGTTAGTAATCACCTGATAATATCTACATAAGGAGCAGGTCCTTGTCCTCAGAGTTCGCCAAGTTGCACCTCAGTGTTTCTACAGTAGCCCAGAACGGACAAACCAAACACTAGCCCCTTTTACACTGCCAGATTTTCTGCAAATGTTGGGCCGTTATGCCGGCAAGCTGCGAGCGTTTAGACACACAGAGCCAGATTGGCGAGTTGATCCGAGGTGCCCAATTTTCTGCCTCGTAGGGTAGACATATTGGTGGAACCCTTTTAGTTTAAACAGACCGAGGCGGCCTTCCGCAACGGGAGGAGCTGTTGATGACGCCTCACGTGCGACCGACTGGTGGTGGACAAACAGGAAACAGCTGATAGCAGGAATTAGCGAGCAGCTAGTAGCAAGAGGGAAACACATACCTGACAGACACTGTAAAGATGAGCAACTGGGGAGACAAGGAATTGCGCGCCTTCCTTGCACTCGCAAACAAAGAGGCCATTAACCGTCAGATGACGAGAGCGGTGAAGGACGGGCCAACTTACGAGAGAATCGCTGAAGGATTGACCAGCCGCGGCTTCCCTCCCATGTCATTGGTTACGTCGCACACTGAGCTACACGTTTTGTTACTTGCTCACGCCCCCCATTGCCCCGAAAAAGGCGCATTCTCTATAAACAAAATTAGGTAGACGGTATTTTGCCGCACTCCCCAATTTTGTTTTGATACTGCCAATGCTGAAAAAAGACTGATTGGGCTTTCCTGCAAATTTGCACAATTCTTATCTAAAAAGGGCTACAGGCTCTGGATACGGCCATTTGCATTTTTGCGACAGCCATTGTAGTTAGCAGCCGCTCCATGCAGAGAGTGTTGGAAAAACACTTCTTAATGTTTATTTAATCATTTTCCGTCACCGCTTATCGTGTTAGGGGTCACGGGGGGCTGGAGCCTATCCCAGCTGACATTGGGCGAGAGGCAGGGTTCACCCTGGACAGGTCACCAGACTATCACAGGGCTGACACATAGAGACAGACACCATTCACACTCACATTCACACCTACGGACAATTTAGAGTCACCAGTTAACCTGCATGTCTTTGGATTGTGGGAGGAAGCTGGAGCACCTGGAGGAAACCCACGCTGACACAGGGAGAACATGCAAACTCTGCATAGAAGGACTCCCCCCACGGGTTCGAATCCCCCCTCCCATGCCACTCAATCCTCCAAAATACTACACACTGGACCTTTACACACATTTTGCTGATAAATTATTTTAGTTAAGTAAGATTTCTAATGCAGGCCTTTTACTTGTTTTGGAGTATTTTCACAGTGTGGAATTAGTACTTATACTTAAGGAAAGGATCTGAATACTTCTTCTACCACACTCAGAACAACATTCTTCGTACAGGAGTGTATTAAATAGGTGGAGCTGTGGGTATTTCATCGTACAGGTTAAAGCACCCCTAACACTGGGAATCCTCAGGACACATCCACTTGTTGCTTGTGGACTTCGTGCTAGGTTTTGGGGTCTATAAATGAGGAATATTCAAGGCAACGTCTGTCCTCCACCAGTGTGACATTTATATGTTATTAATGTGTTATAACAGCGCTCTGACTGTGTCTCCTGTCTGTTGTAGTGCATGTATCTACTACTTCACACGGTCAAAGGGACGCCGTTTGAGACCCCAGATCAGGGCAAGGCTCGCCTCCTAACACACTGGGAGCAGATGGACTACGGTGTGCAGTTCACTGCTTCACGCAAATTCCTCACCATCACACCTATTGTCCTGTAAGTGGCCCCTCCAAAATCTAATGTCTGCCCTTCAGTTGTAACAGGTGGAGAGAACAGCTGAGTGTGAAGGATGGATCTAAACTTGAGTACACACTGAGGAAGTACAGTAGTAGAGCTGGGGCCTCATTTATAACTGTTGCTTACGCACAAAGCAGGGCCTGAGAGAGACGTACGCCACTATAAAAACAAACTTGACGGAAGAATGTGTGCACCTGTACGGAAACTCTGACCCATGTGTACGAACAGATTGTCAGTAGGTTTTCAATAATATCTTCTACTGTGCATGTATCAACAAGCACAACTTGTCATGTAGTTTTTGTGTGTAACATTGCTGCAGTGAACGTGACTTTGCTGTCAGGTGCACAGAGCACAATGGAGACACTGCAGTGGTTTCTGCACACAATAAGAGGTCATATGTGTTTCCAGCTGTGACAGCTCAGGTGTGCCTTTGCCCCCAAACGGTAGCAGACAATCTCTCACTAGAGTCCTGCATGGGGTTGGACAACCGCAAGTGACTTGCTAAAAAGGTCACAGTGTTCGGTTCGGTTCGGTGAAGCAAAGAACCTGCAGGTCATGTTGTGGATGGTGGATGATAAATATATGAAAATAATACTAATTTAATTTAACGTTTTCATCATCTGAGCGCTGATGATGTGTGTCCTGCATTCCTTAAAGGTATTTTAACTGTAGAGGTGTGAGCTCATTGTTATGAGAATGAGCAAAAATTATTTAAAAATATTTATTTACTTTGTATTTCCTGAATTATTTTCACTTTAAAATACATTATCTTAGTTTTACATGTATGAAATGACCCAGAATTATCATTTTGAATGTGCTGCCTAACCAGATTGTTTGAACAGCGCGTGGTTATTATAGGATTTGCATGTTGGGGTGGGGCCATCTGTCTTGTATTGGGTCGGGTCAGGTTGCAGAACTAATTGATCATATGTGCAGGTGGAGGGACGGGTGCGGTGTTGCACATTGTGGTCTTGTTTCCTGAGCGGGTCTTGAAAATCAGTCCAGTGCAGGACTCTGGCTCTGACAGCGGGATCCAATTCTTTTTTTCCTCCCCTTTTAAAACTGACCACTTTATAAAATTTCAGGTACTTCCCTGTTTGATGAACTCACTGCGTTAGCCGCAGCAGCAACATGTTGCCACTCGCTGCATTTTCTTTTGTTTGTGACCACGCTGCTGTGGCTGTCAAACAATATGCGCTTTTCTCACCTCCACCTCACCCAGTGTCAGAAAAACTCCGTCTTTTGGTTATCATGATTCACTGTAAAGAACCTTTGATCAGCAAACTCATTTCTATGAATCAACATTCAAAAGTTGCTCTGCATTGACCATTGATGGTTGCATGTTGACGTGTAGAGGGTGGGATATGAGGCTGAGCCATGGGTGCACATTTTCAGGTGGACTGTGATATATAGAGGGAACATGGCCTGCAGGTGTGTGCACGGTTTTATGAATCTGATTACTTCTTGTCACACGCCAGTCTCAGGTTTTATGCGCACTCGCACTTTTAGTTTGGATCCTAAGCACTGTTTTATAAATGAGGCTCCTGGGAGTAATGACATTTGACATTGGTAAGGTGTTGACAGAAGAAAACGGTATAGATAGAACAATCAGAATAACATGATCCCTCACTGGCTTCCCACCATCACCAATTGTGTTTGTGGGTCTCTATAAAAGTGGGTTAGTTTTCCCCCCTGGTAATCAGTGTGCTACCTCTTATTTTTTACGTTAAGCTCAGACTGAAGTGGTACAGACTGAACCTCAGCTGCTGATTTTCCTCTTGAGGTAAATCTGCACTAAACGTACTTTTAATTACAAAGTCTCCTCTGTTTTTGAGTGTTGATTGATTAGCGTCCCTGCTGCTCTCTATTAGTCAAGCTCACCAACTGTTAAGGGGCTTAGTATTTGCAGCAGCACCCCTCGCTGCTTTCCTGCCCTTTTCTGTCCTCATTAACCAGCAAAGTTCAGTTTACAGGAAGCACTCTGGTTCCCTGGGGTTGATCTGCCAGCTCAGCTTGAACATTGTAGTGATAGCAGTTTTTTGCAGGTGTACACTTTTTCACGCGAGTTTCAAAGGCCTCCTAGTCATTTTGTTTTGCAGCCAGTGCCAGCAGGAAGAGAATAGTGGTCAGTCTCTCGGCTCCAGATGGAAAAGCTACACATCTGCGAATGTCTCTCGAGGGCTTTCATTACATGTCCCCACTTGTTCAGCAGAGAACAGGATGTTCAATTCATCATTCTGAGCCCACAAAAATCCCTTACTGGTGTTTACTGTTAAATCTAAAAATGCTGTTTATATTAGATCAGTGTAGTTTGTTGTTGACTCTCGTGCCTCACAAGGAACATCTGTGCGTCCTCTCCCAGCGTGTAGCCAAAACACAGTCAGGGTTCATCAGGAAGTGCTTACTTTAGAGGCATTTCTAAATGTTGGGTGGTCACTCTCCCTGTCTGTTAATTGTATTTCATTTAAGTTTTTTTTTGTCCCCGATCCCAATCCGAGTCATATATTATTATTAGCAGATACCAAAGAGTCCAAATCTGATACTTTCCTAGATAATATAGCTGCACAGTGCACATACAAGTACTTATTGATTAAAATCAGTCCACTGTATTTGTATGGCCACTGAATAGCTCTGCATTGCATTATGTGCCAGTGACAGCCGTGGCCAGAGGCATTATGTTTTCTCGTTGTCCATCTGTCTGTTCAATTCTTGTTAACCCAATACCTCAAGAACGCCTTGACACTAATTATGATAAAATTTAACACAAATGTCTAAGAGGATAAAATGACGAAGTGGTGACATTTTATATCCCAAAGGTCAAAGGTCAGCTTCACTGTGACATCATAATGCTCCACAGAAACTCTCTCTGGCCATTATTCTACGTCATAACTCAGACATAGAAGACGAGACATTTGGTCAGATACTGAATTGGTGACCCTAATCTTGGGTGTCCACCTTCAAACTGTGCCGATTGTATAGATATTCTCCGCTGCCGAACGGAAGATGGTTGTGAAGCATCCATTTTTTAGATTTGTACCTTTTTTTTTTGCTGCAACATCCATATTTGAAGCATTGTCAATTGTCATTGCTACACATGAGTCTGTACAGACATGGATGTAAACTGTAAGTGCAACTTGACTGGTCGGTGGAGGCATACAACTGCAAGGTGGTAATTCTAGTTTTTTGTTAACAAAATAATGAAATATAAAGTAAAAAATCTTTTAAATAGAGATGTACTGATACCACTTTTTCCTTCCTGATACCAATACCGAACCCCTGAACCTTAGGTATCTGCCGATACTGAGTACCAATCCGATACCAGCGCATAAAATAAAAATGGATGGGATATGAATTGTTGTATGTCTCAACTCCTAAAACTCTATGTAAAATATTAAGAAATTAATACATAATAGTAGAATGAATGCCATAAAACTTTTTTAAATTATTATTATCCAGTGTTGACACAGACCAAGACACAGGTTAAAGTGCAGCCACACAATTTGGTAAAAAAGACATTTTAAAGGCTACAGTCGAATGCTTTTTAAACTCCGCTCTGTTTCCATTTCGTTTGCCTATAGCGTGTGTATGCGTAATGACGTGAGGCATTGCGTGGTATCGGATTGGTCATGGGCTGTACTCGATACCTGATACCCGATACCGCATTTTAGGTAGTATCGGAGGCATTTCCGATACTGGTATCGGTATCGGTACAACTCTACTTTTAAATATTTTTGGCATTGTCACTGTCTTGAGGGACTTGCCCTTTAAGAGACTATTCTCCAGTATTTGTTGCGTCGGTGTAACAATGAACAGTGTTTCATTGTGTGTTTACTTTGTCGTCTGTGCATCTCTTACGTGGATTACATTAATAAATTACTCCTATTATATGTTTGCTTGCAGGGATTTTGTTACACTTGCAGTGGCATGGTGAGTGTGGTTGTTAGCGGTGCAACACCGTGCACCGTAGATGACAGCAAAATGCAAGAGACTCACACTAAGCTGAAATGAAACAAGTGTTGATAACTTTGATAACAAACTAAGAGTCTCATGCTGTGTTTTGCTGGCGTTTATGGTGTTTGTGGAGTCGGGGACGACGGCTGTACTTGTTGTGTTGCAGTGCGTGAAAGCTTCACACATAAAAACACCTTCGTGATAGCTGATGTAAAACAAAGGATTGGACTGGGCTCTGTACAGCTCAGTATATCAAATTCCAGTCAGTTAAAAAACTGCCTTGATCTTTGACATTGGGTCATCTTTAATAATGAACATTTGCATTTCCATTGCATTGCAGCATGATGTGTGCATATTTCAGTTCAGTGTTGCAATCCTGTTGTTCGGCATGTTGAAACAGTCTCACAGATGAAAGTGTTGGCTGTGTGTTTGTGAGTTAGGAAACATCTTGCTGTGATTACCAGAGGGAAAATAAGTGAAAGGTTATTGCAGATTTAAAGTGATGTTTTGACAGCTTTGATTTTAATCTTTTAATTTTTCTTTCCTAAAGACCTCGTTGTGTTCCTCAGGCTTGTTAACAGAACGACTTCAGAGAAATGCAGGCGTGAATATTTATCCAGAGTTAATTTGCTACTCGTTTCCACCCTTGTAATCATTACTCTCTCTTCTCTTATTCATCTCTGATCCAGGTATATACTAACCAGCTTCTACACCAAATACGATCGGGCCCATTTTGTGGTCAACACTGTTTCCTTGCTCACTGTACTCATCCCCAAGCTGCCACAGCTGCACGGCGTGAGGATCTTTGGGATTAATAAGTACTGACAAGGCGGAAGAGGACACCTCCTTCCTGAAGTCCCCGCGGACTGCTGAGAGCACACAGAGTATCAGGCCTCTGATTTGGCTGCAGATCCAACGAGGATCCGTGGCTCCCTGGCTCCTGACTCTGCTGAGCGGCACTCTAAATGAAGCCTCCTGGGGAAACTGCCATGGTACCAAACCCCAGGAAAGTGACACAATACACTTTAAAAAGAGCACAAAGGGAACATGTGTGTTGTGACTGTTAGTGGCCGAGACTCTTTAGATTAAAAAGGGAGTATTATGATTATGTTCATTTCTGTAGAAATGACAGTTTTCTGACGTGACAGGTGTCAGGAGGAGAGGACAATGTAGTTGCACAATATTATGTGCCATTTTACACTCTGGCACACTGAGGCTGTAATCAAAAGTTATTTTGTATGTAATGATACACTGCTGTATTTATTCAGCTGCACTTCAGCGAGATGCTTCCTCTGTCTTGAGGTTTCTGGGCTTTGAGGAGAGTAACAATACTTTAATGAAACAGTGAGGGACCTGTGAACTGCTGCAGAGGCGAGACACGAGAAACCACAAGGTTTTATATTTAGCCTTCGCTGTTCCGCTCAGGGCCAAGATTGGGAAGTTAAGCAACTCTTATTTTTATCTGACCATTTCCATATTTGGACTCCTCTTGTCCTGGTTTGTGTCACAGCAAAGCCTCCTGTCTGCAGAGTTGTCAAGAGCAAGAACACTCTACTGACTTAATATAACCAAAAGTCCTGAAATAGGAGTTAAGAGATAAGTATTATGTCCATACTTTATCCATAGTTACATTATAGGGACTCATGCTTGTCACTAAAAGTAGGCTACTTAAGACCTGTCACATTAGAATGAGCTTCTTATGTCTGCATCTCAGTTTGGAACCTGCAGGCAAATCACATACTTGAGTTACCAGTTTATTAGGTACGCCTGTGCAGTCTAATGCAGTCTAATGTAGCCTTGCAGCAAATTTCTGAGGTGTTTCTAATATTTTGTTCACCCCCATTTACAAACATGAAACTGATAATTTCATTAATGAAAACTGACTCAACGTGTTTTGTCATGACTAAGACGAGACGATGACGAGACGGTACCAACATCATTAAACACTAACTATGACAGTATCAACATGCAGTATTCTTGATGAAGAAAAACGGGACTAAAATGTAGTTTAAAATCTAAAAACTTTGCTAAAACTTCATAATTTTTGTCGACAAAATGAGGGGATGAAATATTACAGATATTTTTATTTATTTATTTATTTATTTATTTATTCAATGTAGCACTTGTGTTTCCTGTGCTGCATTCGATAGGTCACGACTACATCTGCAGCACACAGTGAGCACTGTCAGGAGGACTCATAGTAAATCAGTACCATCAGACCACTGGACACTCTGTGCAAAGCTGAATTCTTACACCTCCTCCTATCATTCAGAGGGCCAGCAAACTCTGGCGGATGGAGCACTGAAAAGTGTTCACATCTGTTGTATTATTGTATGGAATTACTCAAAGCTCAGTAATCTTACATTTACTGTTTTAATTGTAAAAGCCTAACCAGGGACAAGGGTTGCAAGCGTTTTTTCTGAACAAGCGAAGCAGGTTAGGACATCTTCACTGGGAAACACTGAAACAGTCTGAACTTCGCTCACTTGTTGGCGTCGCGTCCAGTTTGGAAGAGGTGTAAATCATTCAACCTGTGTTTTTCATCAGATAATAAGATAAAATCATGTGTGAAGTAACTTTGACTAACATGACAGAATTACTAGTTGTGACTGGACGAGACTGACTTAAAATGTTAATAGTTTTCTTTGAGTAAAACTACACTAAAATAGTTATGGTTTTCTTTGACTAAGACAGGAGTGAAATGCCTAGACTTTTAGTTAAATAAAACTGTACAGAGTGCTGCAGGAATGAGTCTGAAAACCCAGAAACGAGTTATCATTTTAGCACCTCTGGTTCCCTCGTCTTGAAGTCAATGGGTGTTTGGTTAAATACCTGAGTTAAGGTCTGTGGTTAACCCAAACTCAAGAGACTTTTACGTTTTGTTCTACAACATAAAACTATGCAAATGAATACCTCGCTCCTGAATTTTTAAGCTTTAACGTGACTTTTAAAAAAGCATTTGTTAATAAGTGGCTCAATGAGACTTTAGAACATCATCAAGACAAACACGGCTTTACATCCATGCTATGGTGGCGACGTTCAGTCATGCATCCGTGGTGTAGTTCCTTTGTAGCATAACGTTAGCATTTTACTTCTGGCGGTTGCATTTACTCCTAAAGAATCATAAAAGTGGTTCATCTGTGGAGATAATTTTACTAATCAAAATGTAACATATGATAAAAGTTTGTTTGCCACAGAGCTTATTTCCTGCAATAATCAGAAATCCAATAAAAAAGTCTCATTGGATTTTTGTCAAGGGAACCAGGGCGATGCTAACTTCAAGGTTCGCCTACAAAAAAACACCATCCCTGCAGCACCCTATGGAAAAAATATCTCAGTAAATGAACACTAATACGAAAGGGGCAGAATAGTAGAAACACCTCAAAATGATATCCGATTAAAATCCACGTTGTTTAAGAACATCAAGTTCTTCCTCGCCAGCCTGTCAGAATCTTCTTTAGGACTCCAGGAAACTGCAGTGATACTGTATTATCTGCTGAAGGGAGCTATGTTAGAAAGCTACTCTGTATTACTTAGTAAGAATGTCTAAATGGTAATATGTCACTGTTAATGTCAAAGTTAAGGGAACATTTTTGTTTTAAGTTTTACATATTGCTAGTCAGATGCATGTACATGATCTTTTTTGCAGTGAAAGGTGGACGTGTCCATGAATCATTTCACAACGGCAGTAAACGTGAAGTAATAAGTAATGATATTAAATTACAAGGAAACCACAACGTAAGTAATGAGTAGCCAAAACTATATAGTCATTAAAGAAATGTGATAAAATTGTGTAGAATACACCATAATATTAGAATTATGTTTTAAACACTATGCTGCAATAAGAGACAAAAAGTAAAGTTATTCTCTTTCACTAAATGTTATGATACCAATGTTTCCTGTAGCTTTTAGAGAAAGATCTGAAGATTGAATATCTTACTTGAACATAAGAAATGAAACTGTATCCCATATTTTATCGAAATATGTTTACGAATAATAACCCGAACAGTGTTGGCCACACAGCTGACTCTCAGCAGTAGTATTAGCAGTAGCCATAGTAGCATAAATATTAATATTACTGTAGTAGTGAGAAAACCAGTTCCATGTTTTAAAGTAGACAAAGAGACAGTTTTGATGAAATTGTGATTCATGCCTTTTCACATTAATTACAGCTGAGCCCAAAACAGTTCCACTTTATTTCTTTTTGGCAGGTTGATGTGTTTAATTGGCGTAGTTTGTAACCGATGCGTTGATCCAACCAAACACGGACCAAAGAATTGTGGGTTTGTAAATACCAGTTGATCTTCTGCAGCATTCATTTCTTCATCATGATGTTTCTGAGATATTGTCACCATAAAGGGCTTTACTGGTATAATATTTCATAGCACAGTGATAATGCATTTTTTTTTAACAGTTCTTTGAAAGAAGGTTGAATTGAATGTTGATTAAATGTGAATCGGTGGTTTCTGTTTGTTGATCAGTGTAGTAGTGAGCTTTATGAAGGAAATGTCAATGTGATCCTCTGTAAGAGTGCTTGACCCCAAATACAGTATTTTTCAAGTATCATCACAAAATGCTTTATTACTGCTTTTATATTGCCGTAGTGTCTGACAGTCAGACTCACATGTCGGACTTATAAAGACGTGAACCTTTTTTTTTTTTTTTTTTATACTCTGCTGAATAGTTGATACCACATGATCAGGGATTATCAAGGGCTTCGAAACCTGTAAGATACTCTTGCTTTTCTGTGGCTTTAATTATTAATAAGTCTGAAAGGTTGTGTGTAAGATCTGAAAGTCAGATGATTATTGTTGATCTAAACAACCAGGCTTAAAAAACAATGTTAAATGAGTTCAGTTCACAGGTTTCTGAGTATCCCATTCTCATGAACGTGATATCTCAAAAAGCCTCGAGAAAATGTATTCAAAGTTTGCACAAATGGCCCTTTGGACGCTCATCAACAGATCAGTTTTTGGTGGTCAAAGGCCAAAGTCCCTTGTATGTCTCATTTATTTGAATGCAATATCTCAAGCAGGGCCGGACTGGGACAAAAATTCAGGCCGGGAGTCATACATCCACCCAGGCCACCCAATCCACACATTACATGCTCACACACGTGCACATGCACACGGACACACATATGGGCTAAGTAATCACCAAAGCTCATTATTCCAGACTGACAGTCACACAACAACTCTATTAAACCCAACTTTAACAGCAACCCTAGTCATAGTCCTTCTCTTCCCTACCCTCACCAAATGTGCCCCTCAATAAACCAGGACTCCTATATGAATGGGTATTATACTGAGCTAAACAACATGATTGTATTATTTTGTCAGCAAATCATTTTGATTTCATAATCAATATGGCAACACCCATATTCAATACAACAGTAAAACACGTAAAAATATAAGTCAGCTGCAACTTCAACTTATCTGATCTTATTTCAGTAACATTAGATAGATATTGAAAACTTTTGAACTTAGATAAGAGTCCCCTAACTGTTTCAGCCTGCGCTGCTCTGTACAAAATGGAACCAAATGGACCCTTACGGGTTAATTTGGCTCTTATAGCTTATCATCAATCATTTGTCTGGCCTCGGGTCGGTCCCCATCCTCCCCGGACCTCATGTTGAGAATAACCAGTTTTCTTACTTTTCTATGTTAACTTACTTGTTGCAGCATCATCATTTGACGACGTCACGCTGCTGCTGGGGGCGGGGGGGCTCTGAACATATCTGTAAGTTTATGACATTTGGCCGCCTCCTTATCTCGCTCCCGTTCAGCTCCACCTTTCCTCTTTTTGCGGTCCATTGTAACAGTGCTGCTGAGCTGCAGAGCTCCTACTGCACAGTCTGCACACACAGGCACACGTACACACCTGCTCTCTGCTCCACCTGACTCTCCACAACCAAGCTGCTTTCATTTTACAGGCGCGCTGATTTGGGGGCGGGCGCGGGCAGAAAGCGAAACAAACTAATCACGTCTTGAATCTACAAAAAAAAATCCTTTTTGACCAATCGTTGTGACAAATGCTGACAAGCACCTATCATTTCTGAAAGCGGGCGGGCTCTCTGCCAGCAGGCACGGCCACCTGCGCTGCGCAGCCTGCGCTGCAGAGTGCACCTTTTTAAAAAAAAAAAAAAAAAAAAAAAAACACAGGCAGGCCAGAGCAGACCACTTGCGGGCCAGGCCACCGGGGAACTCCCTGGTTCTCCCGTGGGCCAGTCCGGGCCTGATCTCAAGAACACCTTGAGGGAATTTTCTCAAATTTGGCTCAAACGTCCTCTTGGACACTCATGAACAGATTCGTTTTTGGTGGCCAAAGGTCACTGTAACCTCTTCGAGCTCATTCTCATGAACACAGTGTCTCAAGAACACCTTCAGGGAATTTGTTCAAATTTGGCAATTTTCCTTTAAAGGGACATTGTGTTACATTTTCAGTTGTTTATTGCCAACTATCGATGTCTGCATTCATAAATATGTCATCATTGGTGTATCATTACCTCCGCCAATAATCTGACTTATTCTCGTAAAAGAAGAATTTCGGATTTGTTTGTACATTGTGCGGGTAAGTCGTCTGGGGGGTTCCTTAACGTTTCGCTATCTTAACGTTTTGCTATCCGCCAGCAAGGAACATACAGCACCGCCTTCGGCGCTTTCGTTGAGAGCCAGGCCAGCGCTGTGTGACTGAGAAGCCGAAGGACAGGAGTGAGAGGCACTTCGCTACTACCCCGACACTACTGCAGCATAACAAAGTCCCACTCTTTGAGCATAATGCAGGATCATGCATATGCAGCATCATGGGAGACAGAATCCTCATCGCCAAGAAAGCGCATAAGGGAATCAAAAAGGCAACGTGACCAGCGAATTCAAAAAAAGAGGGTCAACATTGGGGTAAGAGCTGCTGAAGGAGAAAGGTAATGCAATCACAGGCCAGCACCTGGTCATTATAACCTCTTCTGGGCGGCTGTGGCTCAGAGGTAGAGCGGGTAGTCCAGCAATCGAAAGATCAGCGGTTCGATCCCAGGCTCCTCCAGCCTGCACGTCAAAGTATCCTTGAGCAAGATACTGAACCCCAAATTGCTCCCGATGGCTGTTCCGTCGGTGTGTGAGTGTGTTAAAACTGAGTAGCAGGTGGCACCTTGTACGGTAGACTCGGCCACCAGTGTATGAATGTGTGTGTGAATGGGTGAATGTGACTCATAGTGTAAAAAGCACTTTGAGTGGTCACTAGATGACTAGAAAGGTGCTATACAAATGCAGGTCCATTTACCATTCCGTCTCATTCTCAAGAACACCTTAAGGGAATTTCCCCAAATTTGGCACAATCGTCCAGTTGGACTCACGATGATCTGATTAGATACTGGGGGTCAAAGGTCAAAGACCAAAGTCCCTGTAACCTTGTGCAGTATGTCTCATTCTCGTGAATGCAGTATTTCAAGAACACCTTGAGGGAGTTTCCTCATATTTGGCACAAACATCCACTTGGATGCTCATGAACTGATTAGAATTTGAAGGTCAAAGGTCACAGTGATCTCACAAAATATGTTTTCAGCCAAAACTTAAGAATTCATTTGTTAATGCTTACAAAATTTCCCCTAAATGTCTAACAGGATAAAACAAAGTGATGACATTTTATATCCAAAAGGTCAAAGTTCAACTTCACCATGACATCATATTCTTCAGAAACACCTTTGTAGCCATTACACTGAATTGATGACACTCATCTTGGGTGTCCACCTTAAAACTGTGCTGGTTGTATAGATTTTCTGTGCTGCAGGCTGAAGATGTTTGTGAAGCATCCATGTTTTAGAATATATAGTTTTTTTGCAGCAACATCTGTAGCCTATCTGAAGCATTGTCAACTGTCACAGCTACATACTGTATGAGTCTGTACAGACATGGATGTAAACTTGACTGGTTCAAAGAGGCAAACCACCACAAGGTTACCTCTCACAATACAGCAGCTTTACTACTTAAAGTGTCGTTTTACCTGATAGAAGTAAGATCCTCTTTCAAAATTTCTGAAGTGAATTGTCCACAGTAACCATGTGTAACAGAAATTTGTTTCTACAGTTGAAAAATGCTCTAGTTTTATTTCCTACAGGTACAAGTGTGCACAAAACATGCTGATTGACTGTAGTAGCAGTAGCTGTTTTGCTGCTGTACACCAGGCAAAGCTGCAGCAAGCTGCAAATCTAAAATTTAATCCATGGTCTTTATTTCAACATTGCAAGTTGATACAGGTACTGCACAGGGCTCGCTCTGTTACACAACACCGGAGGCTTGTTAAACATTGATTAAGTGAAAGTAATGATGAGGTATTAGAGTGAATTTAACAGGGTATCATGTTGGATTAACTGTTGTGAAACACAAAGATGGGGCACCCTGATGTAATAAGCTTCATGTTTGTGCAGAGTTTTACTTTGTGTGATGTTGACAATGAAGCAGAGGTGTAATAACATTTTTACAGTTTCATGTATAATCCTCGGTTCATGAGATCTATGAAGGTTATTTTCTAAATATTCCTGCTGACGCTTGGTGAAAAAGGCTGATATCATAATCGCATGCTGAGACAAGGCAGGTAAATAGAATGCATTCAGAAGGAACTTGATGGAAGTCAGGAATAAGTCTAACAACATAACATTATTTTATACAACAGGTCAAAATGTTATGTCTGTTGCTATAGCATACTGAAATGCAAACTGAGTTGATAGGTGTTTCTCTTGTGCTCATAAGCAGTTTTTTTTTTTTTTTTTACAGTGGTGTAAGAAATATTCAGATCCTTTACTTAAGAAAAAGTACTAATACCACAGTGTTAAAATATTGTACCACAACAGTGTGTCTGCAGGTCCTTAAAGGGTCTTAAAATGTCTTGAATTTAAAAAAATTAGGCCTTAAAATTCATTAAATAATCTTAAATTTGAATTTTTGAGGTCTTTATTGCCACACACATTTTTATCTAATTTAATTTAACATTGTTTAATTTCCTTTTGTCAAAATTAGCCGAGCAATTCTGCGTTAAAGTCCAATTTTCATATTTATTTTAATATTTTCTTTTTATTTAGATTAAAAAAGTTATGTCAGGTACAAAGCCACTTACAAGGTACGCTTCTTTAGAGCAGACAAAACAACATGCAGACAAATAAACAAACAAGACCATTTAAACAAGCAAAAAAATAAACAAACAAAAACAAAACAAGAAAACTAGTCAGAAGAAAGGACCCTAGGGTCCAAGTGTGGCAGGTCACCAGGGGTAGTTACAGTAGTGCTGGGTGATATGATCAAATGACTGCATCACGACATGTCTTAGGGTTGTGGCGTAAAGTTCACAGCATTCAAAAAATTAACAGCAGTTCACTGTTTCATTCATCACAGCGTCTGACACTAAATTACAATACAACTTTTTTACATAAAATCTGTTGTGTATGGCTTAATAAATTCAATCCATCCTTTCCAACATTCTTTAAATAAGGCCGTCTTGAGTGTCATTTCAAAAGTTTATTTTTCCATACAGTCCACATTTCTGACGTTACAAATCTTTACGCCTACCAGTGAACCTTATACTGTCT